ATAGCTAAATAAATCTTTTATATCTACAATTTAGAAATTATATAAATAAAAATATATCATCTATAAACAATCTTAGAAATCTGGTTTTATAAATATATTAGGGTAAAATAGATATATAATTAGAAAATAGAATTTAAAAAACAAACTATTTATAAACATATCCCAAAACCAAACAGAAGAATTCTGTATTTATATTATAAATTAAAGAAATAACAAAATACTATATTTATTCAGATATGAATAGGAAAAATTGGATTAAAGGATTATCTTTAGAAAAGGAAAATGTTTAATTTTGACTATCTAGAATATTAATATAACTTTTATTTAAAAAACAAATAAATAAACTAAACAGAAGTTAGCTATATTTATTTAAATAATAAAAATATCTATTTCTTAATATAAAACCAAAGATTGAAAAGATTAATATAGATAAATTGTATTATCCATAGGAATTCTATTATTTATCTATAGCAGTCAGTCCGACGATTCTACCGTGAGTGAGTGTGTGAGAGGGAAGTTAAGTTCGATTCTTTCTATCTTTATTGATTTCTTTTTCTTTGGCCCGTGTGGCTTCAAACTTGTGATTGATGTTATATGAATTTAGGACACGTTTTTAGTGTATTATTGATGTTGCATTTCCTTCTGGGCCCTTGAAGGAGGGGTGTTAGTACATGTTGGATGTTTGTCGGAAGGGAGAATGGAATGTTGAGGATAATGGGAGATTTAAGATTACTTCTGATAGTTTTGTTTTTTATTAAATCAGTAGATTCAAGTACGTAGAATTTCCTGCATGCTCTTCCGGTGGGGAACTAACTTCTTTGTCTAATTGCATTGCAAATCCGAGTTCGAGTTTTTAGTACCTCCACCACGCGTACAGGCGAACCAATTTCTTGGGGATGAGAAAATTAGTGGTAGGTGGGCATTTGAGCTTGAAATTGAACAGTTCATTGTGATCATGACTGACAAGGATGAGTGTGAGTGATGGTGGGATTCGAGATAAGGTAAAGTCGTTATAAACCTAGTTTTGAATCGACCTAGTACGATATAGTAACCTTAGCACTAACCTAAAGGCCACATAAGATTACAATATTATGAGCTTCAACGTTCTAGGGGGTTTAGAAGTAAATTTCTTTGACGGCGAGGCTTAAATATTAAAGGGGGGGGGAAGGGGGTTAGAGAGTGTAATAGTGACTTCGCTATAGTAGACAACAATAATCGAGTGATATTATAAACGACTTCGAATTATTCTGAAAGAATGTAACTCTTATCTGGAAGCCCGAGGCTTAGGCTAAGAAGAAAAGAGAATAGAAAACCAAACTCAAAGCATGTAGATTAATCTCTAGGCTATTTCGCGTAACGATTCATCACAGCTACCACATTACGTATACAAGTCGGCTAACTATATATCTAGTCGAGCTAATGATTTTACAGGTGACCGAGAAGAAGAGGTGAAATCATTATATACTGACTGTATTATATAGTGTGCGCTGCACACGTTATTTGGAGTTTGAGAGTGAGAGTGGGAGTTGGAGCTTGAAGACAAAGGGGAGACACTTTGTGCGCCATCTTTATGCTCTTCGTCATGTAATCATGTACAACTAATAACAATATATGTAGCAAGTATAGTTAGTATAGGGTGAAAAAAGCATATAACCTTTTACGCTATACCAGAAACCTGCAAAATCTTGACAGAATGATTTTCTCGCAGGCTTGAAACATAATATAACAGAAAGCGGGAAATGGAATGAATGGATAGTGGATGATTTCTCGTAGACTTTAAAAATAACGGAAAGTAGGAAATAGAATGAATAGAGAGTCAACGTTTTTCTCTTCATGCTTCTAAACCTTCAATTCTGATGATAATTGGTCTGAAGTCACATAGTTCAAAGTATTATTCGTGTTTGTATGTATTATTCATTAGAAAATGCTAGAAGCGGGATGGTAGATAGAATGGCCTCTTGTGAGATTTGTGCTATTGACATGATTTACTTCAATATATCCCCTGAAAGAATCGTGCACCTAGTTGCCCTATTTTGCTGCATTCAAGATATCTCGGAGACCAGTTATCCCATCAAGTCGTCCCTCAGTGTTGAGATCGAGTTCCTGATTCCCCCATCAGCCAAATCCACAAGCCCATTGTCTTTTCCCACAATCTGAACATGTGGATTAGATCCTTTGACCAGTGTAACTAAAAGTTTCTTGGACTTCTTCTCTATCACATCAAGAGTAGATTCGCTCGAGATTTTCGCGTTTGGTCCTCCTATCATCAATGCCAATGGTGAGGATTTCCATACCGGTAGCCGTTGTCTAGCTGTAACCACCACAATTGCTATAAAGAAAGCTAGCGAAAGTAATGCTAGGGTCGCTGTGAATGCGAACCATGGCCATCGAACGTGCAAACATGTTGCGTAGTGTAGAACCTCTCCGATAGCAGGGTCTGAGGATGTACTATTACCATGGGCCCGGATCCAGGCAGTCATTATATCTGAAATATTTGAAAATTTCTCTTGTACATCTTTAAACTCGATATAACCGTTGTTATATAGATCTACCATCATTTGCGGACCTGTCATGTCAAAGAAGCTCACTAGTCCATCATTTGATAATCCAGAACCTTGGTTGATTACCACGCCCCAGAAGTTGCCCAACACTTCCCTCCAGTATGGGAATATACCGTCCAACGGCCGGTGGTATTCCATGAGATACAAGCAACGATGTAAGAGGAGAGATGAAACCAGATTTTCTTCAGCCTGAGACAAAACGATAGACCTGTTGAAAGGAAGCCATTGCGAAGAGCTGTCAATTTTATAGCCTTGTTTTATTAGTGTTTCATTCTCCTCTCCTGATATGCAGTGTGTATCAATCATTCCTATCCAAGTATATTCATAACTCCCAAACTCATCATGAATTTTTGAAACAACTCCCCAGTGACTGGTCCCCGAGCTGGAGATCTTATGTTCATTCAGTTGGACTCCGTTTATCGTTGCATTGTATGTGCGGACACATGGTTGTAACGAACATACCGCTGCACCATATCCTTGACAGCGCCATGTATCTAATGCCACTGTGGTATTACAATCCGTCCAGGGTTTCCCCGTGTTCGGATCGACACGTTTAATTGGGTCGACGGTCCTCGGTACTAGGATATATGCGTTCTCGCCGGGTATAAATTGATTGTGATTTGCCAGTCTATTTTTACCCTCCAATATCGAAGTTGCCAGTTTGCCGTTTGCATCGCCGCCAGGAATCGAGGGGGGAATTGTCACATTGATCCAATAACCCCCTAGTGAGTCTTCAGACTTAGGATCATCTCCTACGTAAAAACTAGTTGTTGCAAAAGAAATCAGATTATTGGCACAATATCCTGTTGCAGAAGTGGCATTAGTGTCGCTTTCCTTATCATAACATTTCGTCTCGAGAAATAGCTTGTCCGAAAAGTCTTCACAGCTGCTACAGTATGCTAGAGTTCCGTACATCTGTGAAAATGTGCAGTTTCCTGTTGAACATTGCGAAGCGATATAGGTGCTTGGGGTATAGTCTGTAAATCTAACTGGAAATAATCGGGAAGTAGTATTAAATATAGCCGGATCTAGATCAAACTGGCTGGTGCGGGGTAACGTGGCATTGAGATTTAGGAGTGCTATGCTGCAATCGTATGGCGAAACCAGTTGCTGAATAAAAGGATCAATAGCGACTGCAGCTATCAATATCACGGCGCCGAGTCCAGTCAGTGGGTGCCGAATATGATTAGAGCATAGTAGTTGAACAGAGCCCCATGGCCCCCGAGTAGCTCTATCATAACGAACGAGATCGTAAAGCGGGCGATGGGAAGAAAACCAAGACCATTGAAGTTGTCCGATGCACGAAGCAATGACAAAAGTTAGACACGTTTTGAACACAAGACTGTAGATAGATAGAAGTGTATTGATTGATATTTGGAAAGGCCACTGCGGTAAAGGTTGTTCTGCGTAGGGGTAAAGTGTCGTGATGATAATGATTGGACAAGCAAGAATGAAAAGACTTGCGAAGGATTCCCACTTCCAATGAATGTAATAGTCTATCAACAAATGGCGAATATCATGGATCCTCGCTTGGGAGTACGACGGGATTGATTTGATGGATACATTTGGTGTAAGGCTCGTAGAATCGAGAAGAGAAGATGCATCACTGAACGATGAAGGGATTTGTGCTATCGATTCAGTTTCATGAGGGGTTGCGTCTCTAGAAAGTTTGATGTAGGGCTGAGATTGTCGTTTTAAGCTCGGTGGAGTGATATCAATATCCCCGAAATCCAAATTGGGTAGACTCGGGCGGTTTGACATTGTAACTTCAGTACTCTGATCAGACTTGTTTGATAAAGAATCAAATCAAAAGAAGGCACGGCGGCCTACGTAAAGAATCTTTTGTAATGAAGGACAAACAAAGCTGTGTTTATAGCTTCGAGAAATACTTGAGCCTAGATGGTGTCAAAATCTTAATTTAGACTTTTCGGTAGGCTCCCGCCCGCCGTTCAGTAGGTAGGACAAATGTTGTGTAAGCTTATTAACTCATGTGCCTGAGAAAGTATGCCCTAGAACTTACTGCGGAATGTTTCATAACGGGTTTGCCACCAATATACAGAAGTATGCCCAGCTCATGCAAAGGGGTGGGTGGGGTGCATAAGGCGGCACCTCTAAATGGACAGTAAGCAATGAGAAAACTTTTCTCGTAACTTGTGTTACACCAAGTCATAATTTCCATTACGAAATATACAAGAAGATAGAATCGATATCATGAAATATAGAAAAGTGCTGAAAGTATGGTTCATGCAGAGCTAGAAAGTATGGGGTATGCCGTGATTCCTGTCACCGGTTAGACGCTAAAATATGGGGTGATTCTAGTAGTCACGTTTTTCAAGTGCCGAGGGACGACAGACCGTGGAGCATATCTTGTTAAGGTGTAGAGATTTCAACGACTTACGAAAATGATTATTCAATAGCAAACGACGAACCGATTCTAGGGCAATCTTGAGTAATCCAAAACTAGCTACAAAATCAATCAAATTCATGGAACAGACGCAACTCCTTGGGCAATTTAGGATGTGCGAAGCAGCATAAATAGAAGAAGCAGATCACTGGGGGGAGAGTGAAGGTATAATGTCATGTGATGGTTTGTTAAAGCACACAATAAAGTTTAGAGCAAAGCACTCTTGTAAACAAGTATATATATAGTTGTAGATAAGAGCCAGACCGCCTAGCAGAGGAGGTTGATGGTCACAAATATGTAATGAAGTGAAGTGTGACTTTACCATATTTAGTAAGGAGCACTTCGGCAACTGCGCCAAAGCTAGGCTTTTTCCGGCATAGCCACTGCTGACTCAGAGGCTGGAACCGAGTATGAATCAATCAATCAATCAATCTTCGATTCTAGTAATGATTCTCGCGATAACACCATTAAGTGGATCAGGCATTGTGATAAATATATTATTCGAACTATATTCGAACTGTTTATTGCATCCTTGAATAGAATATAATAAGACTAAGGCTTTTCTTATATCTGGGGCTAAATACAGAGCATCTAATTATAGGAGACGCTTTTAAATTATCTTATAATAATTGAGATCTTAAAACAGTTTGTTATATAAAAGAACTTATTTATATATTCAAAGTAATTAATGATTCTTTAAAAAATCATTGATCTATTATCCAAATTGAAATTATTACCAATAAATTGCTTTTCACTATTAATAGAAAAATAATCTGAAAAGTTAACTTTTTCATTATAATTATTATTTTCATATCTATTACTATTCTTATAATTAGTTAATTCTTGATATACATTATTACAAAGATTAATGATTATATTAGAAAACTTTTTTCAATTTCTATTCTTAGAATTGGAAAACTTATTAAGTTAATAATGATTAAATAACAGATTATATTATTTATAGTCATTTAAGATAACTGACTTTTTAGTTACAATAAAATCCTTATAATCATTTCTGAATCATTTTTGTCGGTATATTATATGAACATTATATGTATCGCTTAACGATGTACATAATAGGCTATATAATATAATTATCGATTTCAGAGGAGATTCTCTTTTTTCTC